GGAATCAAGCAGCTCCTCTCTCTTCCCTACGCCCATCAGCAGCAAGGTGTAGCAGAAAGAATGAACAGGACTCTGCAGAACAGCATGCGCAAACTGTTGCGTGGCATGCGGCTACCCAACCACCAGTGGCCTGACGCGATGGACCACGCTGTCATGCTGCACAACTTGCTCTCATCTTCATCACTATCGAACAACGCATCACCGCATCTGCTGTGGACAGGAAAACAGGGCAGCACAAAAATGTTACGAGTGTTCGGATGCATGGTACAGTACCGACCCCCAGCAGCACGAGCGGGCCGATTTTCACAACGCGCACAGTGGGGACTACACCTCGGCATCGAAAAGAACTACAACGCGTGGAAAATCATTGACGTCCACTCCAAGGAAACAGTAGCAGCACGCGACGTCATTTTCTACGAACGACTCACGCTCCAGACATACCTTGCCAACCTGCAAGAGGACCAAGATCCCACAGGTGGTTTTCGTGGTGACCGAGCCTTCGCCTCGGCAGCAGACGAAGCTGAATGGGACGAGCAGAATGTGGCCAACGCATCAGAAGAAGCTGGACCCCTTCCGTTCTGCTCCGTCGACGTCCCCATGGACGAAGATAACCCTCGCGAAAGTGTCAACGCCGAAACCTTCTACTACTTCGCCGACAACGGTTACGTAACACCTGCGACAGTCAACACCAACGAAGCAGAACGAGTAGGACCGAATTTCATACCTGATCCAGAAGCGGGAGATGAAGCAGCTTATCCCGAGGATGCAACTCTTCCCCGCTACTCACAGACTGGACTGCAGATTCTCGGACTCGTCACCGCAGTCCACGGCAACACTCTTCCTAAGGAGCCTGCGATGGTTCAGCAGGCTCTGGGGGGGGAACACAGGGAAAAATGGCGTGAAGCCATGGACAGAGAGTTAAAGGCGCTGGAGGAACGGAACACCTGGAAAGTTGTCCCCATCAGCGTGGCAAGGAACAAGACCATTCTCACCGGGAAATGGGTCTTCCGCGTTAAAACAAAAGCAGACGGCACAATTGAGAAGTTCAAAGCACGCTGGGTTGTGCGTGGATTCGATCAGGAGCACGGACGGGACTTCACCGAGACATTCGCCCCGGTTAGCCGACATACCTCACTTCGAATCCTCCTCGCGATCGCCGCCATGAAGAAAAGGAAGCTACGGCAAATCGATGTCGCCAACGCGTTCCTCTACGCACCTGTCGACGTGGAAATCTTCGTCGAGCTCCCACACGGTACCAACGGGGAACCTAACCAAGTCTGTCAACTGCTGAAATCACTTTACGGGATCAAGCAAGCTCCGCGGCTATGGCAACAGTACCTACACGCTCGCCTCATTCGCATCGGCTTCCGCCAACTACCTCACGACCAAGGAATGTACCGACTCACTAAAGACACCGACTACATTCTGCTGATCGTCTACGTAGACGACCTACTCTACATCGGCTCCACTGACGACATCACCACCTGGTTCGAAGGGGAGCTACAGAGGGACCTCACACTCACGGTCTCCTCTACCGTCACACAGTACCTCGGCTTGAACATTCGGGAAGAAGAAGGCGCGATCTACCTCAACGCCGCTAAGTACGCCGACACCATCGCCAAACGCTTCGCGCTCACACCTACCACCATCTCTACGCCCTACCGCTACGCGACAGGAAACGACAAGGAAGGATCCTCTCTACTCAAATCCGCAGGGATACGCGACTACCAGAGAAAGCTAGGATGCCTTCTCTTCGCAGCTGTCACCTGCCGCCCCGACCTCTCATACTCCGCAAGCCAGCTCGCCACCAACCTCAAGAAGCCTGAAGCAGAACACCTGGCGGAGCTCGACCGCGCTCTCCACTACTTCGTCAGTACCTCAACGATCGGCCTAACTTACTACAAGAACACAACTACACCGACTAAATTAATCGGCTACGTCGACGCTGATCACGCTGGCGACTCCGACAACAGGCGCTCCCGCACCGGCTACATCTACCGCCTCGAACCTATCGGACCGATCTCCTGGCAATCGAGCAAGCAGGAATTAATTGCTCTCTCGTCAGCTGAAGCAGAATATATTGCACTCTGCTCAGCCACCAAGGAAGGACTCTATCTTCGCGAGCTGCTGGAAGAAGCGAAGTTAGCCGAGTTACCCAACTTCACTCTGTTCTGCGACAACCAATCTGCAATTCGCATCGCCAACAAAAATGGATTCGCGAACAGAACGAAGCATATCGCTCTGCGATATTTCTTCGTGAAAGACGAGATTGAGAAGGGGAGACTTGAACTATCCTACTTTCCCACGTCCGAGATGGCAGCTGACTACTTGACCAAGAAGCTCGGAAAACAGAAGTTCGAGTACTGCATGCTGCTGACTGGACAAAGCCACGTCACCAGCAGCGACACTCCAGAAGCGAAGGGGAGTGTTGGGAACAAACAATCTTAAGCGCCTCTGTCGTGTCGAAACACCAAGGCACAAGCGAAGCAGAGCATATCGAGGCACCAGCGAGTCAACCCTCGGAGGTTGAAGTAACCGCTAGAGGTTACGCGAAAGTCAAAGGTCATTGACAAATGCAGCGCGACAGCAAGGACACACAACTGACTCGACATTGAGCAGTTGCCCGAGTCGCACTGTATCGAACCGCAACAGTAAAACAGTTTAATTATATCTCTTCGTATTCTTCGTACTCTTATATAAACCTTTGTACTTGCTTGTTTTAATCAACTTACTTTGCCCTCACATACCAGCGCAAGGTGGTTCAAGGACTTCATTTAAACGCTTCCGCTACTACATCACTCTACCCAGAGTTTAACCCTACCAAAGATCCTAAGGGGCACTCAGCCCAACACTGGTAATGATGTTGATACACATCTCAGACCACGAAGTGGTTATCCACGAGGGTCCCTGGCTTGCTAGGCATGATGCCTGTGACGGTGAAGCCCTGGAACAAAGACGACGAGAGGGAAAGAGGGAGGAACGGAATGTGGGGAAATGAGGTGGAGGTGGGGGTAGGGTAGCCGGGTTGCATGCTGCTCATGGTCTCACACGCCACCTAGGAGGGTGGTCATTTCCAGAAAAGGAAATCAGAAGGAGGGGAAGGGGCTGGGATAAAGGAGAAATGTGGGGGAAGATGCACGAAGGAGTGGGGTGTTAGGACAGGAAAAGAGGGTATGGATGTAGAAAACGTTTTTATGGGTGGAAGAACAAATGGTGATGGCAGGGGGGAGGGGGGTGAGTGGGGGGTGGATGGTTGTTGTGGAGGAACTGGAGCACAAAACATCCATGGTTCGGATGATAGTGATGGAAACACATGAGCCATAACAAAATCCAATTCCAACAGATGCAATGCGAGCCATAACACTGCATTGCATGCGATCAGTTGGAGGTTGAACACAATCAGATTCCAACAATTTGACTAAACTGAAGTGATATGCATCAATTAGCTGCATCACTCTTTCTTGTAGATGGGGCAACGAATCCATGCTTAAACACACCTTCACCTATGGGCATGTGGTGATGCCATGTGCTCGCACCTCGTCATCCCTCATATAGTACCTAAAAGCCCCACGTGACCAACATGCAACAAGGAGTATCCAGCAGTGATCAAAAGGTCGCATCCACAGCCTCTGCTCTTCCCTCCTAGCCATGCTTCCTCGCCCGCCTTCATCCACTCACCGCTGACTGAACTCACCACCACCACTGCTGCTGCTGCAGCACGTGGCTCTGCCATACTGTCGCCTGTGTGACGCAGTGATGAGCTGGGCTCCACGTGACTAGTCCAGGGTAGGGTGCTGTTGTTATTGAAAGGGAAATGGAGTTTCGAGGATGGAGCAAGGAAAGGAGGTGTGTACTGCTGAACGAGGAGAGCGGAGTTGGCACCACTGCATATGGGAAAGCAGCATCCACATTCATTCTGCCTTGTCATTGAACTATGGGGGAGGGGAGAGGGAATGAAAAGGGCAGAAGGCATTCCCGAAATCGCATGAAAAACTTCATCAAGGGAAGTAGCATCATGCATATCAACTCTTGCAACGTAGTCACGTCTCGCACCATCAACCTCGATATGCGCAAGCCACGCTCACCATGAACATCCGTTTTAGGGGGGGGTCTCAAAGACTGTGGTGTAGGTACGAGCATACGGTCCAAGCCAAGCTGGCTCGTCCAGGGCAGCGCCTTGCCGACCCGGCAGCTGGCCCGGCTTGTGGCTGGTCAAATGGAGGTGAGCCGGGACGAGCAGGTCTCAGCCAGTACGGCTCGTCGTCACAGACTGCCGGATCTGCGAGGATCTGTCAGGTCGTCATCATCAGCGCAAACACAGCATTTCACCTCAAGTCTGCGACGAGCGGATATGCGACTTTCCGAGGAGACGACCTCATCTTGTCGACAAGCTGACGGCTTGTGAAATCAGCTTCGACGAGCTGAAGAGCCAGGTCGGGGCTCGCCGATCCAGATAGGCGTGAGTGGGTCATGCTGCGAGAGAAAAATCGTCATGCTGGGTTATGGTGTCAGCCTACCATGACCGCCACATCAAACACCTTGTATTGACAATCGCACTACCGTTGCACACCTAAGAGAGAAGCATTAGTGAACCTAATGAAACTCACAATCGAATTCTCAACAACGCATGAACACCACAATGTGCCAATCCTTGCCCTCGCACGACCCGCAACGCCTCCGCCCCTCTGGAAGCGCTGTCGCTGATGACACGCCAGGCTTTAGCACTCTCTGCCATCAGACCCTGTCACCCCTCATTTCCTTCTTTCTTCACCTCCCTCTGACTTACATCCTCGTCTCTCTTCCTCCTCCTCCCCTCCTTCACCTCCCACTGCTTCCCCTTCTCCTCTTGTCCCCTTGCCACTTCCTGCCTGACTGCTTTCTCTTCGCACAAACCTCGTCCATTGTCTCTCCACATAGTTCCCCCCTTCTGAAAGCAGGTTCCTTGCCAATTGCGGCTCTTCAGCTTTGTACCTCTGCTCTCCTGGCCTCATGGCCACATGTCAGGTGCTGTTGGTGTGGGAAGCGGAAGAGAGTGGGGGGGAGGAAGTGGGGGGGGGGGGAGGGGAGGGGGAGACAGGGAAATGTCTGAGAGGCCCGTCAGCTGAGAGGCATCTCTAAGGGACAGAAACGGGGGAAACAGCTAGGCGGGCAGAGGCGGGGTAAACAGCTGGGGGACAGAGGCGGGGGAAACAGCTGGGGGACAGAGGCGGGGGAAACAGCTGGGGGACAGAGGCGGGGGAAACAGCTGGGGGACAGAGGCGGGGGAAACAGCTGGGGGACAGAGGCGGGGGAAACAGCTGGGGGACAGAGGCGGGGGAAACAGCTGGGAGACAGAGGCGGGGGAAACAGCTGGGGGACAGAGGCGGGGGAAACAGCTGGGGGACAGACGTAGGGGAGAGAGCCGGCGGAGAGAGCTGGGGTGGGCGAAAGCAGAGCCACATTCCAGCCCTGGCTGGGCACTGGTAGTGGTGAGTCGACTTGAGTTTGCAGTACAGTATTTCATTTGTTTTGCACTGCTGTAGCACCTAGTATATATGCGGCACAGCGACGCCCGAGCAAGCGAGCAGCAGAGAATGTGGTCCAAGTTCCTGGTCGTCGCCAAATTCCTGTCCCTGTGGGCCAGACAAGCGGACCAGAGCAGAGCAGGCCACACAGCGGACTGCAGCACGCGAGTGGGATGGCGGCGGGTGGAACGGGAGCTGAGGAATAAGGGACGGCTTCCGCCCCAAGCGACGCTTTAACGAGCCGCGTTGCGGGGGGGAGCAAACTGCCATTCGCCAATCTCTAGATGATGAATGGTGACGTGACGTGGTGAAAGGTGGCTCGACATGGCAAAGTGGCGGCGTCACATGGCGAAAGCAAAGCACTACACGGACCTTGGGAGGGGAACAATAGTCACGCTGTGCAGACTCCCTGCCAGCGAAACACATCGGCAGAAAGTGCATAAACACGCCGAGCCAATAGCTCAAGCACCCATCACGACGAAGAAACCTGGTAGGACCGACGGTGAAGCAAAAATAGGCCACTACCCCCACAGCAGTCACCCCTTCCCCCACAGCAGTCACCCCTTCCACCACAGCAGTCACCCCCCCTTCCCCCGCAGCAGTCACCACTTCCCCCACAGCACTCACCCCCCCCTTCCCCCGCAGCAGTCACCACTTCCCCCACAGCACTCAACCCCCCTTCCCCCACAGCAGTAACCACCTCCCCCACAGCACTCACCACTTCCCCCACAGCAGTCACCACTTCCCCCACAGCAGTCACCACTTCCCCCACAGCACTCACCCCCCCTTCCCCCACAGCAGTCACCACTTCCCCCACAGCAGTCACCACTTCCCCCACAGCAGTCACCCCTTCCACCACAGCAGTCACCCCCCCTTCCCCCGCAGCAGTCACCACTTCCCCCACAGCACTCACCCCCCCCTTCCCCCGCAGCAGTCACCACTTCCCCCACAGCACTCACCCCCCCTTCCCCCACAGCAGTAACCACCTCCCCCACAGCACTCACCACTTCCCCCACAGCAGTCACCACTTCCCCCACAGCAGTCACCACTTCCCCCACAGCACTCACCCCCCCTTCCCCCATAGTCACCACTTCCCCCACAGCAGTCACCACTTCCCCCACAGCAGTCACCCCTTCCACCACAGCAGTCACCCCCCCTTCCCCCGCAGCAGTCACCACTTCCCCCACAGCACTCACCCCCCCCTTCCCCCGCAGCAGTCACCACTTCCCCCACAGCAGTCACCACTTCCCCCACAGCAGTCACCACTTTCCCCACAGCAGTCACCACTTCCCCCACAGCAGTCACCACTTCCCCTATCAGCTCTGGCACGAAGTGAGCGAACCAGCCCCAAGCACATACACACTCCCCACTCACTCATTGACCGCCGGGGCGAAAAACGACTTGTCTGAGACACAGCTAGCTGCGATGCAGCAGCCGTCACCACATCAACCGTCAGCTCTGGGACGAAACGAGTGAACCTCCGAACCCTCCTCCACCACCTGATTGGCCAGCTCCAGCGTGGGCATCGGAACAAGACAGAACGGGCCACTGGCGATGGTGTCGGCGGCAGCGGCACCACTGCCAGGTGTCGCGCTGCAATTGGCTGCTGCTGGGCGTTTACCTTCTTGAGAGGGGCGCTTGTGGAACTTGTCCAGGCGAGGGGGATGTGCGGGGGGGAGTAGAGGGAGGAGGAGAGGGAGGAGAGGGAGGAGAGAGAGGGGAGGTGGAGAATGTGGGGGAGGTAGGTGAGGGGATGAGCAAGCAAACGAACACCTGTTCAGTTCGCCTCGAACCTAGTCCTCTCTCCAGCGAGAGGACTTGGAGGTTCGATGGAAGGGTGGAGGCCTGAGATGTGCACCTGAGAACTGGTCTGGAGGGGAAACGGAGAAAGAAAGAGCACTTGGGGAATTTCAGACATGCCCTGGGAGGTGGTCTGGAGGGAGAGAGGACAGAAAAGAGCAGTGGCTTGATTCGGGAAAAAAAAACAGAGGGTGTAAATCGGTTGATAAGGAAGAAGAGGCAGCAGGTTGTGTCTGTCAGTGGAAAACTGGAGTGGAGGCCTGAGATGTGCACCTGGGGCTGGTATTGGGAGGGAAAGGGGAGAACGCACATGCATACGCGAGGCATCTCTCAGGCACACGAAGCAGCCAAGAATGTGCACGGATGTGCAGCTGCATCTTAAACCCCCAGCTGATCTGCACATTGGCACAGAACCAGCGTGCTGAGCGGCGAAGTGAACCAGCAGCGCGCCGAACCAACGTACGAATCAACGCTACAGAATCAGCAGTGTGCTGAGCCGGTTATCTCGAGGGTTTTCTCGAGATCATCCAAAGCATTGGCCATGCTGCACCGGACTCTACCGAAATGCACCGAATTTCACCGGACAGCACCAGACTGCACCAGACTGCTTTTCCACAAACGAAATTTTGGCTAATGCTGCCTCCTGGTTTGACTTAAGTGGTCACCTTAAGAATATACCGCTCCATTTTCGCTAAACGTGCTGCCTGATGCTGTTATTTGCTGGTTCCCTAGCCCAAGTAATGCTACTGTTCACACACTCTATCTTAAATCAGTCATGATGAGGTTCTTAACCTGAGGAACTACTCTGCGAAGAAAGGCTAGTTCTCCTCGTCAGACGTCCATCGTCCTATACTTGATCGCGGGTATGTCGAGAAATAATAATCAGGGACGAGAACACCAGGGCCCTGGTGATGTCGGGTTTTCTACGACTTCTAAAGTCGAAGCACAAGAACACGCCGACAGCTGGATGATACTAAAGACGAACGACTGGTAAGTAGCCTTGCGAGCTGACGACTGGTGGTCGTGCGAATTAAGGACGAGCACTAAGACGCGCTTCGGATCAGCTCTATGTCAACCAATGCAGAGGGTAGCAGCGATGTAGAGCGACAATTTTCCGCAAGAGACTTCCCCACTACAAGTATCGCAGGAGCCTCCGCCGCGATTAACTCGGCCTATTGCCGCCTAAACGGCGTCTGGAACGGCGTGGTGCCAGCAGTTGTGACGGGTCGGGTCGGGGGACGGGACTAATAAGACGTTTTGCGTGGTTGAGCGCGGTTGGTTAACAATAAAACAGAACGGTTGGGTAGGGTGCTTTAAGTTACTGTATGATATCCGAAGCGAGTTGTGTGCTTATTGAGGGCGAAATTCGCGCAATTTCGCCTTCAACTAGCACCGAACGTTCCAGTGGCCCGAGTCTTGTCAAGGCCCTGTTCGGTAGCCTTCCCAGTCATACTGTGGTTGGTGCGTGGGATCTTCTGTTTCCTAAATTCAAATCAATTAAAACCCAACAAACCGTTATTAGAACACCGAGCCTGTAATGAATGTGAATTCATTACTGTAGAGGCTACTCCTAGCGAGGACAGCCCGAACTGTTCGCGTCAATTTGGGTTCGGCCTACACTTCGGCCCGAACCACTTCCGAGTCGCCCCGCACCAATCGCGACACTTCCAACCCATCCACGTCCCGAGGTCCTCGCCTACCACGGTTTCGACCCTATAAATGCTTGCTTCTTTATCATTCTCGTCATTCTGTAGTTCTCATCCTTTTTATAAAGTCTTCCGCGCACTCTTCTTAGTACAACTCATAACACTTGGTATCAGAGCCTAAGTTCCTAGGTTCCCCGTTTTTTAGAGTGTATTACCCCTCGGGGGGGGGGACAGGGAAGGATGCCGTGGTGATAGGAGCAGCGCAGTAGCCGGCCAGGAGAACGGATAGTTGCTCCTAGCGGCCATGTTTTTACGGGCGCTCCTGCTGCACCGACGGATCCTTGCCCTCGACGGTCGAGATGGACCGTGGCCTCCCTCCCCCCGGGTGGCGGACAGCTTTTGCTGTCGTCGCATTTAATTGCGTGAGTAAATTTCATCGTTTCCGTTAATCTCGGCGCTGTTTTTATGCGGCAGTTGGCGTCAGGACGGTTGTCGTCACTGCATGCGCGAGATTCTCGGAGCAGCTGGTCGTGCGAGTTGAAGTTTTCACGTGGTCGTTAACTGCGCACGAAGAAATCGGAGTTAATGCGTGCGGCAAGTGGCGTCAGGCGTTTTCGTCAAGTTGCGCACGAGAATCACGGAGGTCTTCGGCACGTTGTGAGCATCGTCACTGTGCTCGAAGATTTCGGGTGGCTTCACGGCAGAAACGACAGCTGGCCGGACAGGCCAGGCGCATGGTGATTTGCGTCGGAAAATGCAAACGGCGAGGAGAGATGGCGTGACGACTGCCCGAAGAAAGCGGGGGTCTACCGTCGTTCCGCCCGGGTGTGGCCGGTGTGGCTGCTGGAGGGTGCGTCTTTGGCGTTTTCGGCAGGTGCGGCACAGTGTGGGACGGAAGTTATTTTCGAACCGCCGAAAAGTTCGGAAAAGGCCGCCTACGACTAGACTGTCTACGTTAGGGTCACTTCTGCGCCTGCAACAAGGTCGGCCGAAATTTTCGGAGCAACAGCAGCAGCCGACAGTGTACTTCATGCGGCACAGGTTCCCCCTGATCAAGGGAAGTTGCGCCGCAAACAGGGCAGTACACCGACGGGACAACGGTTTATCGCAGCGTCTAGACCCGCGAATTTCGCCTGGTCTACCGGTCACAATAAACGGAGTTGCGACAAATACGGGTCTGGCGAGAGAAACGGATTTCGAGCTTCAGGAGGGGCGAAAACGACCTACTGCGACGACTTTTTGCTGAGGGCCGAGTTTTGCGGCTAAGCGGCGGTAGCAGAAGGAGCTCCCTACCGGCCAAAGTCTACCGACGTTTCACATACCTCACGCCCAGAAGGCCTCGAAGGCAAGGAGTAAGTCCTATTGGCCACTGGATCCAAAGGTGGGGCCCTGTGTTTAGCCCTGTGCTGGCTAAAAAGCGCGGGTATTGCGCCAGTTCGACAGCTGGGCGTACAAGAAATTTTCTGGGAGCGACACTGTTTCGGCCCCGACAAAACCGGACAATCGGCAGCAGTTACCCCGCCGAAAAAGTCGGAGCTGAAGCAGTTGGTGCAGCTGTCGGAGTTTCTCCTGATTCAACGGTCTATCCGACGGCGGTGTAGCGGCGAAGAAGGGATTTCCGAAGCTGAGGAGTTTTAAACGCGATAGACGCGGTGGGCAGCGAAGCGGCCGGTCCGATTGTTTGATCCGATAAACATGACCCGGCTACGATAGCGTTCGCGCCTTGACCGAATGTCAGAAAAATCGCGGACAACAAGGAGTTATACCTCATCCGACAAAAGCGAACGCTGGGTGAACGGCGGCAAGCGAAATTGTCGCGGGGTGAAGACACAAAACAAATGGAGGGAAAATTGTGGGTGCTCCAGCAGATCTCCAGAGTGAAAGGTTGAGCCTGTACACCAATCCACCGCGAATTTCGGAGTCTATTCGGTAGACCCCCGAAAGGGTTTGATATTGTTACATGGAGGCGCGGCGAGCGGTGTATCGCCAAGGATACCTGGGATTCGCTAAGTAATTTCGACGGGTGCGAAGACGGGTGAACGTCGGAGTACCAGGGTTAACGGCGGAAGCGTCGGGGTTACGCGGCGGAAAATACTTCGGGACTGCTTCAACAACCATGATTTTCAGGGTTTTATTCCAACGGTGGGAGACGGGTGAATGTCTGCTCGCCAGCTGTTTCAGCGGTTTACGGTGTACTTCGAAGCCATCTGGGGAAATTCTACAGCGAGATCTGCGGCGTTGATGCGGGCTAGGTTCCGTGAAATTCGGTCCCGGTAGACCCATAGTTCTGGGTTCCGCACAAAAAGCACCTCCTGTTGGTGGGTGGCTAGTGTGGTTAATCGCAGGAAATAAAAATGGCGACGGGTGGGCACGCTAGATACACCGGTTCTTCAAGGGGATAACCTGCAGGTGACCAAGACGTACGAGAAATTTCAACACCGACACTTACGGGTTTCAGCAGCAGTACTGGGAGCTGGGTCTTTACAAGAGTTCGGCGGTGACGGCCGACAATTTCGCGACAACGGCGGAGTTGCAGCGGCGCTGCGTTAAGCGCGCGAAAACTGCCGTGGTGAACTTCATGGTGGCAAAATCTGCAGAGTTTCAGGGGTACCAGCCGCAACACTGGTGAAATGTATCACAACAGGTGGGGGGAGGAAGGACAACTTTTTCGCCTCTGCCCCGAAGTCTTCGGCGAGTCACGACAACAGCCGAGGTAGCTGACGTCATCGACAGTTCGAGTTTTCAACTTTGAAAAATATTTGCGAGGTCAGGGGGAAGAGCAGCAGCTGTTTTCGTCCCTGCCCGGGAGTTTTCGGAGCAACGCGACAAAGGCCTCGGCGAGTCTGGACAAAACTGCCGAGGGCGCCGACAGCTGGAACACTACAGCGAAGATTTTCGCCACAGCAACCAGCCAAACGGCAGCAGCAATTCGGGATTGCAGCAGCTGCCAACTGGAGATTGGGCAGCAATAAAGTGATTCGATACTGCCACGCGGGGGATTACGAGGTGGCAGTCACGAGAGATGCTGCAGCAACAATCGCGACAACAAGACAACAAGAAGATTTTCTTAATGCCGAGCCCCTGCAAAAACGATATTCTTTCGAAGGGACTTCGACAGAGTTTACCCTGGGCATTTTCGGGGTTTTCGACAGTGAAGATTTCGCCACCGACTGCAATTTCGACTACACAGCGGCTGAATTTCAGGCGGGAGGTCATAACACTTGGTATTCTGTCCTACCCTCGGCGTCAGGGGGGTTGTGGTTTTGTGCCCGCGCAGCTGTGCACATTTTGGTGGGCACCAGTTCTCTTCCAAGGGGGGGGGGGGGGGGGGGGGGGAAAGAGTGCTCACGCAATGTTGTTGGCAGGCCTCTGACATTTCGGCAGTTATTTCTGACAGTTCGTCTGACACACCCAGCACGACGGACGCACACGATGGCTTCATCGGCATCGACGGCACCAGATTCATCAATCTCTGACAACGCGTCAGAATTCCCGCCGACATGACATTCACCAGAACCATCCGATACACATCCGCGACATCGACGGTCTTCCTTCGTCGAACGATTTGAGATCGACATTCGCTTTCAACCGCCCGATTGACATCGGCAGTATCAACGGCTGACATCCCAACTCTTTGAAATTCGCCTGGTCAACGCGCTCAGCCACGCGTCAACTCGAAAG